CCATCCGAGGCCCAAAATGCCTCCCAAATGGCTCAAGAGAGCCCCAAGAGGGGCCCAATAGAGCCCCAAGACGACCACAAGACCGCCCAAGAGCGCTCCAAGATGAGCCCACGAGGCGATTTTCGGAGCTTCCGAGGGGGGTCGTAATTGAAACGCTCCCCCTTTTTGATCGATGTCCTCCAAGATGGCCCCAAAAGGCGCCTCCAAGGCTCCCAAGAGCGCCCCAAGAAGGCCCCAAGAGGCGCCCAAGAGGCCCCCAAGAGGCCCCCAAAAGGCCCCCAAGAGACCCCCAAGACGCCTCCAAAGGCTCCTCGAGGAATCCAAGACGCTCCAAGACGCCTCCGGGACCGCCAAGAGGCTCCCAAGACGTTTTAAGAAACCTTCGGGACGCTCCCATGAGACATCCGAAGAGACTCCGAAAAAAAAGGCATCCAGTAGGCCTCTGGCCATTCTGCTCGCCCTTCTCATCCTCCTCCTCCTCCTCCTCCTCCTCCTCCTCCCTACTCTCCTCCTGCTCATCCTGCTCCTCCTCCTCCTCCTCCTCCTCCTCATCCGCCTATTCCTCCTCCTCCTCCTCCCTCCTCCCTCCCCCCGCTCCCCCTCCTCCTCCTCCTTCAGTTTCTCCTCCTCCTCCTCCTCATCCTCCTCCGATTCCTTTTCCATCCTCGCCGTCTTGGATAAGACGGGTTTTCCAGCCCTTGGTTACTCTCTGTGCTCCCTCACTTCCTTGATCACCTCCACTCGCCTGGGCATTCGCTGGTCGAGAACCAGCAACACCAGCAGCAACAGCAGCAGCAGCAGTACCAGCAGGAGCAAGAGCACCAGCAGCAACACATGCAACCTTCGCCACAAAAGATCTCCCGATTCACCGTTGTTGCCCGCTCGGTTTCACTATGTGCGTCTCTTCCTCCCTTCTTCCGTCAGCTCCCCTACGCATCGTTTGTGGATGGGCTGGTGGGGATACGCGTAGCGTCTAGATTTAGGCTGCGCCCGCGCTCCCAAGGCCGCGCTCCATAGTAAATTAATTTGGTGGAACTCTCGGAAAATTGCACGCACCGGCACTGCCACCCGCAGGGCTGGTTCCGGGAGCAGCCGCTGAAGAAGCAGCGGCGCTCGGCTCAGCACCGAGACTGTCCCCCGCAGGGCCGGTCCCGGGAGCCGCATGCACGCCACACGTAGGGCCTTTGCATGCACTGGAACTGCCACCCAGAGGGCCGGTTCCAGGAGCAACCGCTGCAACGGCACGGATGCTCGGCTCTGCATTCTCGCTGCCAACGCCTGGAAAGGCGGCCACGGATTCAACTCCTTCTTGCACGTGTCCTGCAATCCTCTCCCAGGGCCCTCTTGGGGAGCCTCTTGAGTCCGTCCTGGAGCGTGTTGAAGTCCTCGTCGGCCGTCTTGAGGGCATCTTGGGCGTCTCCGGGCCCTCTTGGGACCGTCTTGGGCCTTCTCGGGGCCCCCTTAGCCTGTCGTGGCCTGCTTCGGGGCTGCCCAAGGCCGCCTCGGGACCCCTCTGGGCCCCCTCTTGGGGCACACTTGGGTTGTCTGGGGAGCCTCCTGGGCCATCTTAGGGCCCTCTTCGTGGCCTCGTGGGCCGTCTTGGAGCGATCTGAAGGGCCTCCGAGGCCGTGAGGAAGCGCTGGGAAACGGGAAACGCGAGAATGCCAACATCCTTGAAGAACCCTCGGACAAATGTTTGAATTTCGCCTCCCAGGGCCAACTTGGGCAGCCTCTTGAGTCCGTCCTGGAGCGTGTTGATGTCCTCGTCGGCCGTCTTGAGGGCGTCTTGGGCGTCTCCGGGCCCTCTTGGGACCGTCTGGGGCCCTCTCGGGAGGCCGTCTTGCGGCCCTCTTCGTGGCCTCGTGGGCCGTCTTGGAGCGATCTGAAGGGCCTCCGAGGCCGTGAGGGAGCGCTGGGAAGCGGGAAACGCGAGAACGCCAAAATCCTTGAAGAACCCTCGGAAAATAAGTGAATTTCGCCTCCCAGGGCCCTCTTGGGGAGCCTCTTGAGCCCGTCCTGGAGTGTGTTGAAGTCCTCGTCGGCCGTCTTGAGGGCATCTTGGGCGTCTCCGGGCCCTCTTGGGACCGTCTTGGGCCCTCTCGGGGCCCTCTTAGCCTGTCGTGGCCTGCTTCGGGGCTGGCCAGGGCCGCCTCGGGACCCCCTCTGGGCCCCCTCTTGGGGCACACTTGGGTTGTCTGGGGAGCCTCCTGGGCCGTCTAGGGGCCCTCTTCGTGGCCTCGTGGGCCGTCTTGGAGCGATCTGAAGGGCCTCCGAGGCCGTGAGGGAGCGCTTGGAAGCGGGAAACGCGATAACGCCAAAATCCTTGAAGAACCGTCGGAAAATGTATGAATTTCGTCTCCCAGGGCCCTGTTGGGGAGCCTCTTGAGTCCGTCCTGGAGCGTGTTGAAGTCCTCGTCGGCCGTCTTGAGGGCATCTTGGGCGTCTCTGGGCCCTCTTGGGACCGTCTTGGGCCCTCTCGGGACCCCCTTAGCCTTGTCGTGGCCTGCTTCGGGGCTGGCCAGGGCCGCCTCGGGACCCCTCTGGGCCCCGTCTTGGGGCACACTTGGGTTGTCTGGGGAGCCTCCTGGGCCGTCTAAGGGCCCTCTTCGTGGCCTCGTGGGAAACGCGAGAACATCAAAATCCTTGAAGAACCCTCGGGACATTCATGGATTTCGCCTCTCAGGGCCATGGGGAGCCTCTTGAGTCCGTCCTGGAGCGTGTTGAAATCCTCGTCGGCCGTCTTGAGTGCATCTTGGGCGTCTCCGGGCCTCTTGGGACCGTCTTGGGCCCTCTCGGGACCCCCTTAGCCTGTCGTGGCCTGCTTCGGGGCTGGCCAGGGCTGCCTCGGGACCCCTCTGGGCCCCCTCTTGGGGCACACTTGGGTTGTCTGGGGAGCCTCCTGGGCCGTCTTAGGGCCCTCTTCGTGGCCTCGTGGGCCGTCTTGGAGCGATCTGAATGGCCTCCGAGGCCGTGGGGGAGCGCTGGGAAGCGGGAAACGCGATAACGCCAAAATCCTTGAAGAACCCTCGGAAAATGTTGAATTTCGCCTCCCAGGGCCCTGTTGGGGGGCCTCTTGAGTCCGCCCTGGAGCGTGCCGAAGTCCTCGTCGGCCGTCTTGAGTGCATCTTGGGAGTCTTCGGGCCCTCTTGGGACCGTCTTGGGCCCTCTCGGGACCCCCTTAGCCTTGTCGTGGCCTGCTTCGGGGCTGGCCAGGGCCGCCTCGGGACCCCTCTAAGCGCCCTCTTGGGGCGCTCTTGGAGCACAATTGGGTTGTCTGAGGAGCCTCCTGGGCCGTCTTGGGGCCCTCTTCGTGGCCTCGTGGGCCGTCTTGGAGCGATCTGAAGGGCCTCCGAGGCCGTGAGGGATTGAAGAACCTTCGGAAAATGTGTGAATTTCGTCTCCCAGGGCCCTCTTGGGGAGCCTCTTGAGTCCGTCCTGAAGCGTGTTGAAGTCCTCGTCGGCCGTCTTGAGGGCATCTTGGGCGTCTCCTGGCCCTCGTGGGACCGTCTTGGGCTCTCGAGGGACCCCCTTAACCTGTCCTGGCCTGCTTCGGGGCTGGCCAGGGCCGCCTCGGGACCCCCTCTGAGCCCCCTCTTGGGGCACACTTGGGTTGTCTGGGGAGCCTCCTGGGCCGTCTAGGGGCCCTCTTCGTGGCCTCGTGGGCCGTCTTGGAGCGATCTGAAGGACCTCCGAGGCCGTGAGGGAGCGCTGGGAAGCGGGAAACGCGAGAACGCCAAAATCCTTGAAGAACCCTCGGGGAATGATAGAATTTCGCCTCCCAGCGCCCTGTTGGGGAGCCTCTTGAGTCCGTCGTGGAGCGTGTTGAAGTCCTCGTCGGCCGTCTGAAGGCATCTTGGGCGTCTTCGGGGCCTCTTGGGACCGTCTGGGGCCCTCTCGGGACTTCCTTAGCCTGTCGTGGCCTGTTCCAGGGCTGGCCCAGGCCGCCTCGGGACCCCTCTGGGCGTCCACTTGGGGCGCTCTTGGGGCGCAGCTCGGTTGTCTGAGGAGCCTCCTGGGCCGTCTTGGGGCCCTCTTCGTGGCCTCGTGGGCCGTCTTGGAGCGATCTGAAGGGCCTCCGAGGCCGTGAGGGGGCGCTGGGAAGCTGGAAACGCGAGAACGCCAAAATCCTTGAAGAACCTTCGGAATATGTGGGAATTTCGCCTCCCAAGGCCCTCTTGGGGAGCCTCTTGAGTCCGTCCTGGAGAGGCAGGTGACATGCCATAGTCACGCCGTGCCCCATAAGCCTTTGCTGACTTTATGTTGCATGCGCTGCATGCAGGGAATCAGCAGTGAATCGGGAGCTCGGCAAGTTTTTAATGCCGCACAGCGGAACTTACCCAGCACAATTTTATGAAACTGAGCGGGAGTGGCCCCTATGAAGTCACAAGCGACAAACTACTGAAAGGCTCCAGGCGCCGTGACGGAACGGCGGCAGGCCACAGTAGAAATGTATAGAAAAGTAAACTTAAAATGCAGGGGGCTCCCAGGCCAGAGCGCCCATAGCCATTCCTCCTCCTCCTCCTCCTCCTCCTCCTCCTCACAACATGCGCAAACGGGTTCTCCACCAATGCAGGAGAACACCCCTCGGAGACAGGCCGGCTCATCGTACTCGCCCTCCACGTTTGCCTCGTCCCCCTCCGCCGCGCTCCCCCGCGCCGCCCGGCCAGCGTGCTCGGCACCCCTGGTCCCCATCAGCAGCTGAGCTCGCCATGGACGCCGCCTTCGACCTGGAGGCGGACGCCATGCTCCCAGGCCGGCATGGGTGGAGCCTGGGGTCAAACCCAGGCTCGGCCTACGCTAAGGGTGGGACCCTGACGAGGTCCCGAGTCGCGCGAATTCGAATGCAAGACCTTCTTAGGTCGAGTCTAGCCTCCTCCTCCTCCTCCTCCTCCTCCTCCTCCTCCTCCTGCCTCCTCTCCAGCCCTCCCGCCGCCCCTGAACCAGCGCCTGGCCAGAGGGCCTGCCGCGGTCTACTGGCACCCTAGCAGCCCCAATGGCAATCACAGAGAGACCTTGGTGCTGGTGCCACTTCGCATGGAGCCCGAGCTGCCCTCCGCGGTGTGCTCTGCAGCGGAATGGGCGCCCCGCGTCCCCCTCAAAAAAACTTGCATGGCCTTCCGCTGCATGCGACGCCGCTTTGACCTGCCGATCGACTGAGGCTTTAAGGACACGCGCGGACCATCCGAGCTGTCGTTCCCACCCTTCTCCGAGCTCCTGCCAGACTGCTGCTTGGCGTCCTCCTCCTTCGGCAGACGACCTCCCCCGAATTCTCCCACCCAGGAGTTCCCTCCGCTGCTTGCCACCTCCGCCATTGAGGACGATGTTGCGTTACAGGTGGGATCCGACTTGGGGCGGTCTCCCACGGTGACGTAGTCGATCCAGGGCGACTGATGGTCCAGGAAGGTGTTCTTGATGGTCAAGCCGCTCGGCAGCTTGGCCGCCACTGGCGCCAGGGACCCCTGAAGGCTCATTGTCCGTGGAGCCGCGCGCGGCTCGGCCCAGACCAGCTTGTGTCAGAATGGCTGCGGAGGGTCAAACTTAGAAAGAACAAGAAGCATAAACACAAACTTTTCGAGCTCCGCGCGGACTTCTTGGATCTGCGCTGGACCCCCCCCCAGGCGCGCGGAGCGCGCCAGGGGCGGCGCTGGAAGCGCCGCCAGGGGGGCCCAGCGCGGATCCAAGAAATCCGCGCAGAGCGCCACATCCCGAGACCCTGTTGGGGCCCTCGTGGGCCCGCTCGGGGCCCTCCCGGAGCCTGCCTCTTGGGGTCCTCTGGGGGCCGCTGTCCGGCCTGCGGTCCTAAGCCACTACTGCCGCCAGGCGCGCCCCGATGGCACTGGGCAGGCCATGGCCGTGGTCTGCCGAGGCCGCTCCCGAAGACTCACCACGGGGTGCCGAGGCGAGGCCGCGGACGTGAGCGCCTTCTTCTTCTTCTTCTTCTTCTTCGGCGTTTCGGCATTGGGTGGAAAGGGGGGGGATCTGGCTCTGGACCTCTGCTTGATGCGACTGTTTGGAACCGTGCGTCCTCTGGGGGAGACCCCACTTGCTCGAAATACGCACCCACAACAGCCAAGATCTACTCTATATGGGGGGGACCAGGGCCCGCGCCGATCACAGCGAAACAAGGAATTAGAGACCGATCATCATGGAGTTCGCTGCCGCCTGCTTCAGACTCGCCCGACCACGAGGTCGAGCACGAGCAACAACGGGCCACGGACTCCGAGGCGCTGCAACGGGGGGCCCCCGAGAAGGGGAGAGCGGCCAGCAGCCCTCTGCCGCGTGTCTTGCGTTGCCACGGCGAGGCGAGAAGGAGGAGGAGGAGGAGGAGGAGGAGGAGGAGGAGGAGGAGGGAGGGGAGGGGGAGGAGGAGGAGGGAGGGGAGGAGGAGGAGGAGGAGGAGAGGAGGAGGAGGAGGAGGAGGAGGAGGAGGAGGAGGGGGAGGAGGAGGAGGAGGAGGAGGAGGAGAGGAGGAGGAGGAGGAGGAGCGAGGAGGAGAGGAGGAGGAGGAGGAGGAGGAGGAGGAGGAGAGGAGGAAGGAGGAGGAGGAGGAGGAGGAGAGGGGAGGGAGGAGGAGGAGATGGAGGAGGAGGAGGAGGAGGAGGAGGAGGAGGGAGGGAGGAGGAGGAGGAGGAGGAGGAGGGGAGGAGGAGGGAGGAGGAGGAGGAGGAGGAGGAGGAGGAGGAGGGTCCACGGGGGGGCCGGAGGGAGCGGGGCCGCAAGGGGGGGACGAGGCGCCACGGGCCACGAGCTGCTGCGTGTTGCCCTGCAGCCCCAGCAGGGGCCCACGAGGCCCAGAAGGGCCCCAGTCCGAGGAGTACCTCTCCTCCTCCTCCTCTCCTCCTCCCTCCTCCTCCTCCCCCTTCCTCCTCTTCCCCCCTCCTCCTCCTCCTCCTCTCCTCCTCCTTCCTCCCCCCTTCCCTCCTCCTCCTCCTCCTCCTCCTCCTCCTCCTCCTCCTCCTCCTCCCGCCCAAAACTCCTCCTCCCAAACTCGGGCCTCTGCTAGGAGGAAACGCTCCTTCTGTGGAGCGCGCTGAGATCTGGCCTCCTCGAGGAGACACTCTTTCTTGATCAACGCCTGGGCCGCCCCCAGACCCCCGACGCAGTGTTTTTTCTTACGACTTGGACCCCCAAAGACCCCCGACCCCTCCCCTGGACCGGCTTTTCCCTCCGAGCCGTTCTAATCTTTAAGGCCCTCTTGGCGTGTTGTGGCGTGTTTGGGAGCGAGCCCGGGCAGTCCCGGGAGCCCTGGGACCCCCCCAATACCCTCGTGGGGGGGTACGGCACCGGGCCAGGTCCCCCCCCCCCGGCCTACTCCCGTTTGCGCGACGGCGTCTGCGTAGCGCGCCGTGAACGCAATTTGACGGAGAGGAACCGACGACGACGACGACGACGCCCACGATGACGACGACGACGACGGCAAGGGGTAAAGCGTGGATCCTCGCCCCCCCGAAGCAAATGTTCCCGGAGGCCCCTCCAGGAACATCTCCCGGAACCGCCGAGGCCCGAGAGGTTTGCGCGACGGTGTCAGCGTAGCGCGGCGTGAACGCCACTTGACGGAGGGGGAGGGGGTGGCGCTCGTGCTGGGGCCTCTTGGGGTCTTTTGGTGGCGTCTTGTGGACCTCCTCGGGGCCTCCGTCCTCCTTCTCCTCCACCTCCTCCTCCCTCCCTCCTCGTCCCTCCTCGGTCCTCCCTCCTTCTCCCTCCTCCTCCTCCTCCTTCTCCTCCTCCTCCACCTCCTCCTCCTCCTTCTCCTCCTCCTCCATCCGCCCTTTCGCACCTCCGATGGCATCTGGGGGGCTTCTGCTGGCACTAGAAACCCAGGGGCTCTCTTCTGTCAAACGGCGACGGCGAGCACCGGCACCAGCACACGCAGCGGTGAAGGTGACGGCCACGGTGGATGATGGCGATGACGATGACGATGACGATGACGATGATGATGATGATGATGACGATGATGATGATGACGATGATGATGATGATGACGATGACGATGATGATGATGATGATGATGACGACGACGATGATGATGCAGCTGATTATGATGATTGTGATGATGACGATGCTGCTGTTGCTGGTGGTTGCTAATAGTGATGCTGCTGATGATGATAATGGTGATGCTGATATTAATGTTGATGCTGATGTTGATGGTGATGATGATAATGATGACGATGATGATGATGATGATGATGATGATGATAGTGATGGCGATGATGGTGACGATGCTGATGATGATACCAGTGATGATGATGCTGATGATGATGCTGATGATGGTGATGATGCTGATGTTGGCGATAATTGTGGTGGTGTGGAGGATCAGAATGAGGATGAAGATCAGGATGAGGATGATGATGATGGCGACGATGACAATGCTGATGATGCCGACGATGCCGATGATGCTGATGGTGATGATGATGCTGTTTACTATTACTATTGGTTCAAGTAATGATATGATGGTGACGATCCTGATCATGATGATGACGATGCTGATGATGATCGTGACGGTGATGATGATGGTGACGGCGCGAGTGGCAGTGATGATGATGATGATGATGATGATGATGATGCTGGTGATGATGCTGACAATTGGTGATGCTGTTGGCGACGATCATGATCATGATTATGATTACGGCCGATGGTGTCCGATGATGGTAGAGTTGATGATGGTGATGCTGATGATGCTGATGCTGATGCTGCTGCTGCTGCTGATGATGATGATGATGCTGATGCTGTTGCTGATGATGATGATGATGATGATGATCATGATGATGAGTGGTGGTGGTGATGGTGGTGGTGGTGGTGGTGGTGGAGGTGGTGGTGGTGGTGATGATGGTGGTGGTGGTGGAGGTAGTGGCAATGACGACGACGACGACGACGACAACGGTGCCTCCAGAGGAGGAGCCTGCACGACGTGGGCGGCCCAGCCGCCGCCCTCGCCCTCGGAGAAGAGCTGCACCAACGAGCCTCGGCGGGCGCTCGCGTGCGAGGTCGGCTCTCCGCGCGCCGCGCTCGGGAGGAGGCGGAGGAGGAGGAGGAGGAGGAGGAGGAGGAGGAGGACGCGCACGCATCCGAGAAGGGTTCGACCCAATTCACATGCACAGACAAAAAGTTGGAGCTAGGCCAGGAGGGAGAGAACATCCTCCTCCTCCGCCCCACCCTGGGCCTTCCGCTCCTCAGCCTGCCTCCCCAGGGCCTGTGCAGCCGCGTCCGATAGGCCGTACAACGCCAGGACGCGCTGCCAGTCGGCGGCGGGCGGGGCTAGCCGCCCCTCGCGCGCGGCCGACTTGGTGAGCTCCGCGATTTTCGCGGGCCCCGGAAGGCCCTGGGCCCAGGCAGAGAAAAAGGGAAGCCACTCGGCCCTGACCTCGGGGGCTGGGGCTCCCACATGTGCCAAACAAACCCCTTTGGATTTCTATGGCCAGGATACTGACCAGCTCGAAACTTATTAAGATAGAAGCCACGACCTCCGCCAGCGACAGGACGACACGACGAACGAAGATTGCCACGTTTCGAGCTGGTGTGCGCCATGCTGCCGCACCTTACGCACATGAGCAAACTATCATGAAAGGTCTCGCGATCGGCTTCATAGATGTCGGCCTGCTCCAGCAGGTGACCCATCTGCCTCCAGGCTCCTGGTGCCAGCAGGGCGGGAATCTTAAACACTGTCAGATCTTCTAAACGATCGCCGAGCTCGGCCCACCAATGTGCCCTGGCTGACTTCACACCGGCGGCTCCCGAGGGATCTCGGAGGCAGCCGACCGTGCCGGCACAATCGATGTACAGGGAGACCTGGGGTCCGAGGACCGCTCGACGAGACAACATGAGCACTGCGAAATCCTCTCCGTCGCGTGCCAGCTGATCTGGCGCCTCGGCCAAGGGTACTACGCCGAAGAGCGCCGCCAAGGTTCGGCCTTCTCTGTCCAGGACTACGACGGCCCATCCCGCCGTACGCAGGCCAGGCATGCTTCCCTCGAACCCCGACCCGTCCGTGAAAACATGGGACCCCTCGGGGATGAACAAGGGGCCGTCCTGTGGCCATTGAAAGCGACGCGAGCACGGGTCCAGCGGGTCCCTCGGAGGCCTCCGAACGCATGACGTGGGGTCTGGGAGCACGCACCTGCTAAAAAGTTCCCGAGCCTCCCTGGACAGATGGCCAAGATTGCGAGCAGCCTCCTCCACCACGGGATCCAGGTTCTCGTGGTGCCAGGCGGCGAAAGCACAGCAATGGAAACGCCGATGGAAGAGATTCCCTACTGCTTCACCACACAGCTGACACTCTTTGCCAGCTTCGGGACTATGGGCTGAGATACGGACCTGCGACCAATATGCATTCGCCAAGATGGCCGAAAGGACAGCCTTGTGCCCCTTGGTCCAACAATCATTGTTTTTCCCAACTAAAAGTTGATAGAAGGGGGCCCAATGGATAGGCCCACTCCACTCCTGGAAGTCATACTGCTTAGACTGCTCCTCCCGCTCGATAGCACGCCGCACGGCGCTACGCACGAGAAGGCCGAAAAAACTCGGAGAGAAGCGCTCCACAGCCCAGGACCTGCCACGATCATCCACCAAGGAGAGAGTGTTAAAATCGAACTCCCAGCGGATCCTGGCCAGGAGCAAGAAGAGGGCAGCAACAGGTTGGCGGGCCTGGCCCCACGGGCTAGCCTTGGCCAGGACCGCCTTGGCATCTACCACACATGACTGCAGCACATCATGTGTTATAGACTTGGCCCATAGAACTCCTACGAACTCTCGTACAGCTGCAACGATAACCACCACAAGCGGATCCCTCATCCAGAGCCGAGCAGAGGAAAGGAACCGGAAGCCCAAGGACGTCCCAGGGAGGAACGGGCCCCAGGACCTCGCCGCTTGGATCCGCAACTTATGGAGGCTCGTTGGGGGTATCCCTAAAATGTGGGACCCCCAAATGGCCTTCGCGAGGGGTCCTACACGGAAGACTTTGCTATGTTTTTCGCTCTGCCCTAAGTTGCGAAGAGCAGCTCCCGAGGCCGACGCGTCGGACAGCCGTTGTGCCTGCGTGCCCACTCGACGGACGCTGCCATCGTTCGAGTCCCCGCCGAGGTCGCGGCGCGCGGAGACCAGCTTGTCGGCCCCGAGCGTCCATCTCGGATCCTGCAGCAGCTCGGGCAGCAGCTCGCGGTCCGAGAGCATAAAGCAAGTCTTGCCCCAATTGATTGGCAACTGCTTCGCCTCCAGCTCCGCAGTGACGATCGCAAAGCTGCCGATCGTCGCCGACATCGTGGTTGCTGGGCCTCCGATGGTGTGCGTGGTGAGGTCATCCACCACGCTCAGCGTTCGACATGGTCGTGACTCGACCGCGATCCTCCGGAGAAGCGTCAAAGTGAGTAGCTTGGCGACTCCTGTCGCCGCGCTGCACGCGGCCACGATCGTGCCGCTCGGGTGGCTGAGGCGGCTGGTGCCGCCAGTCCATCTGGCTCTGCGCGGGGCCCTGTAGAGGCAGCAAAGAGCCTTCAGGAGTGCCCCGTCGAAGGCGAAGTGTTCTCCTGCCTGACGTAGCTCTTGGTGGCTAACGTTCTCGTAGAACTTCCGAATATCGTAGAAGACAGTCGTGGCCGTGAGGCCACGCCTGCGCGCATGACAAGACAGCATGTTGTGAAGGTATGCGGCTTTATCACAACTGCTCGCAGCATCCTTACCCCAAAAGAAGTCTGCATCAACCGAAGCCTCCCACTTATTGACATCAGTTCGTCTGACTCTGCTCCAGATTCTGGCCCAGAAGCGAAGAAGGCCGATAGGCCTGGTGCCCCCGTCGGCCTTGGGCAAGAACACACTCATGGTCACCCACATGTTCACGCAGGTTGGTCTCTTCTCCCATTCAGACAAGATCCCGGCCAGCCTCGAGACGAACACACCGTCCAAGAAGGCGACCAGTCGCATGTGGAAATTGTCCCAGCCGAGCCCCGTGGATGGTCCGAAGCTCTTGCAGGCGTCGATCACCTGCTGCTCACTGATGGGCCCCAAGGTCCAGGCGTAGTTCCAATCCTTGGGGTGCACCTCCTCCGTCCTCTTGGTGGAGATCCACAAGCTCTCCCACTCCTCCAGGACGGCTTCGATGGCAGCAGCCCCCGCTAGGCCGCGGGGCGGTGTTCCGGACTTCGGGCAGGCACCCTCGAGCCTCTTGGGCCTGCAGACGGCGTGTGCCAACTTGCCCGAGCCCTCGACCGCCGACTCACCGAAGTCCCTCCAAGCCTTGCTGCGAGCCTTGGAGTCCTGACGACGGCGCTCGTCCACCTCGTCAGTTAACACAGCGCGGAACCACGCAGCCAATTGACCTCCCCGCTGCGCGAGGTCGATCCACTTCTCAACTTGAGGCTCCCTGAGTAGCATAGAATCAGATACAGGCTGAGGCAGCGTCAAGTTCCGAAGCTGCTGTATGACTCGGTCCCGGTGCACTGCTCGAGCAGCCTTGGACCCCGCAGGCGAAGATGTCGACACGCAGAGACTGCCCCAGAGGCGAAGAGCTGAGAACCAAGTCCTAGTGTCAGTCTCGTCATGGCGTTCGAGAATACCCTTGGAAAGCTCGCTAAAGTTCTTCTTGCGCATAACAACCCCCTTGCAGCGTCCAAAGTAGAAGCGAGCACCCTTCTTGGGAATCTCGAAAAGCTCCACAAGGTAGCGCTCGGCTGCAGAGAACCAGCAGGCCGCCTCTTGATCAATGTCATCAATAGGGCGACCCAGCGCCCACTCCCCACGAACAGTGACAGAGGGAAGGGGAGAAGGAGGTAGGCCCCCATCTGCTTGACGTCGCGCCTTCGCGGCCTTTGCTCTGGCCTTAGCCTTGGCCTCCTGGTCTGCCAAGGGAAAAGCCCTCGGCGGCGACTCCCACCCACGCGAACGGCTCGTCACGGATGCCCTTGATCTGAATCGAAACGTAGCAGTGTGGGGACACGGGCGCATCAGTACTAGCTTCCTCTGTCATAGGGAAGGCGTCCAAGCACTGGGACCCGATAAAATAGTCGTACTCATGGCCGTTGCATGTAGGCACACCCGGAGCATAAGCCGTAGCTGAGGCCAGCTCCAGCCAGCCCGTGCCCAAGACTTCCTCGGGCTCCATGTTCCAGTCACCTCCCAGAAGAAAAGGGAAACGCTGGGACCCCAGATACGTTCCCAAAAACTCCAGAATGTCAATGTTCTCGCCCTTGGGCCCGAGAGAGTCGACGCAATAAACAGAGCCAACGATCATCCAAGAGTGGGGCCCGAGCGTGAGCAGGCGTAGGAGTACTCGATGCTGGGAGCGCTCGGGAATGGGGTCGAGGATCGCGACGCCGAGGCCGAACGCCGAGACCAGTCCCACTCCTGCAGAAAGGGCCCGAGCGGCCTCACCAGTGCGCACTGACGATCCCAACGCCAATCTCCTGGAACAAGTGCGGACCCATTGGTGTGCTCCCGGCTCGTTAGAGTAAGCCAGCTGCGTCTCCTGGATACACAAGGCGTGCGGCATGCCAACAGCCTTCTCGATCCATGGCATGGTCGCTCGCGCTCGCGGCCAAGTGTTGGCATTCAAAGTGCCTACAGTGAACACAGACTGGTCCTCATCATGGCATACAGTAAGGGCCTCTAACAAGGACAGCGCGACGGCTTGAGATCCAGAAGAAGGCGTCGTCGCCGGTGCCGGGCATGAGGGTGCCATCATCGATGGAATAGTCCCCGAGCCCGCTGCACAAGTACTAATTGCCTTTGCCACAGGCTGCCGACCAAGAACGTGGAATGCCCGAGGCGCACGCTGCTCTACTACCGTCGTGTGGCCGGCCGGGTTAACGTCACCGCCTCTGGCGCTAAACCAGCTGCTGGGGTGGCTGTAGCTGCTCACGGAGCTGGGCGTCCTGAAGCAGCCGCTCTCGAATGTTGACCGTAGGAGGCTCTGGGCCAGCAGCAGCGCCAGCCCCAGAAGCGTCACCACCCGTGAGGTCGACCTGCGCTGGCGG